TTGTTAATAAGAAAAAATAAAACATCTTCCTTATTTGTTGTGTCTGAATATACCAAAGAGTAAACCTTCCTTCCTAAGCCTTACCGACTGTGTAATAAAAAAACAACAAAATGATGAGATCCATAATTCTTTCCTGAAGCTCGGCTTGGAATACTTTCCTCAACCCGACGGATCACTAGCTCACCAGTGCCACTTGGCCTTCTGCGCCAATGGCGGAAGTGTTGAAGTCTCACCTCAGACTTCAGTTACAGGTCGCCTTCTCCCCTCTGAACCTCTTCCATCTTAATCCTGTCACTCGACAGAGGATGGTGTTTACTCCCTGCTGCAGCAGGTGTCGAGAAGCAACGCAGCGTTAATGTAATGCTATGTAATCACTTGGAATGATAACACGGGCTGCAAGCGTGCCGTTTTGCAGCGGCTTTCACTTTATGCACAAGCAGGCCTAAAAGTAACAACGTTTTCTTTAACTCAGGGGTCTTCAACGTTTTCCAGGCCAAGGACCCCCAAACTGATGGCGAGATGGAGCAGGGACCCCCTATTCTACGCCTGTACATAGTCTTTATAAATTGAACTGTGTGTTTGTCATACTGTATTGTGCGTGGACTGTGCTACTGCCTCTTGGCCAGGTCATCCTTGTAAATGAGAATTGGTTGTCAATGGATTTTACCTGGTTAAATAAACGTCAAGTAAAATAAAAAATAAATCTACTTTTGAGCTTTGCGCTCTTTTGGCGTGAGCATGAACGCGATCTGATTGGCTGGTGCCTGTGATGTCGTATCAGCATGAGAGGAGCTGTGCTTCAGAGAGCTGCTGTGGGAAGCTGAACGAAAGGTGACGTCTTCTCCATCAATTTATCCATTCAGTACAATATGTTGGATTCATGTTAATGTGTTTTTAAAGACAAATACAATTCTAATTCTGAAGACATCTAGGAGTTGTGGAAAAAAATAGTTAATTTAAAAAATCAAAAACCCTGCAGCACCTGAAGACCTCTGCTTTAACTGTTTTTATACTAGGAATGTCAATCGATTTTTCAAAATTGACAAATTAATCCCGATTAATTGGGATGTGGGTTGGACTTAAATTGTACTTATGTCTTATCTATAACAAGTTGTAAATTGGCCTATATAATGAAATTGCACTTTCTTTTCAGTTTGTAATTTTGACAGCCGTAATATTTACATATATAAAAGAAAAGAATATGCGATGATTGGTTGGAGTACTCAAGTTTCTCTCAATCAGGATATCTTGTATGAGAAACATCAGGTCAATTTTATCTCTGACGCATGACTATGAAAGAGTCATGGCTGCTGAAAAAGATGGAGAAAGATGAGCAGAACCCCTGTGAGGTGATGACAGACCCCCCCCCCCGAAAAAGAACACTTTATCTGGACACAGGTGTTTTCATCCCACCACCGGTTATAAAGCTCAGCTCAGGTGGAAGCTGAGCTCTGCTGCGATGTTAAATAACGTCCAGAAGGTCCATGTACTGATCAAATTGATACGGTGTGAGCTGTTAAGGAGATGTTAAACCACATCGTCCTCAAAACATCTAATCAGGCCGAGTGAGTGAAAATACCTGCGTGGGAGGATCGTCGACCTTTTTATAACTATGTTGGTGTCCTGCTCATGATTAAAATACATGAAAAGACCACATAGAACAAAAACATGTCAGTTTAGTGTATTGATTTAATCAATAGTCGGCTTCATGCTTCACAAAACATAGACAAACACAAAGGAAACCAAATCAGGAAATGATGCTTAGGTTTCCTTTTATTTCTTTCATTATCTGTTTATTAGAGAACTTATTACATATTGTGGTTTGGCTCGGCTGCAGAGGGGGGAGAGGCTCAGGGAACATTGCCAGGTGGAGGCCTCAGCTGCAGGGAATGACCATTGTGTGTCTCCCTGTATTTAACGCAGAAGGTGCGATCCGGCGGGAAGGAAGAAAGCCAGCAGGCGAGAGAGCTGGACGCTACGAACGAACCTGCCGTGTTTATCTTCATTCCGGACCTCCAAGGATCCACCAAAAGGTACAAAACGAACGGCTTACACAATGTGTTCTGATTGCGTTTGTCTTGTTTCTGTGCTTGTGTAAAGAATCCTTAAAAAAAATCCTCTCGCCTGCGGCAGTATTGGTAAAAATGATCCATTGAGCGGATGAATCTGTCCAGGTTTAAACAAATTAAACTTGGACAGATTCATCAGCCGTATTTGAGTGGAAGCGACTGCCATGTACAAAAAGGCTAAACTAATTTCAGAATGGACAACCGAGATGAGTGAAAACCACCAGAATATGACCATAAAACCGAAGACTTGATAAGGGTAGAGGCTCTCTTTTTTATCAAACACCGAGTGCTTGAAATTACCATACACAGTGACAGTTACTCATGGCAGTCATGCACCCATTTACATTTTCATTTATTATTTTACTGCAAAGTAAAGCAACGTTCAAACCATCAGGATAAACCATGCGTGGGTTCATCCGGTGTTTATGGTATCAGGAAAGATATATTTTGGTGATATTATAGAGACACTTTTGGATTTTTTTCTCAGAGACTATTTAGACCAAGATCAAATGTTAACATTATCTTGTTTTGTATACTAAACCTACATTTGTCTGCTAATAACACATTATGAGGCTGAATAAACAGGACACGCATTTCACAATACATTTTGAAAGAGGAAGTTGGATGCTGCCACCAACCAAATACAATCATGAAGCAAATATTTATTTATGTATCCAGGCTCATTATCTGCAATTTGGGTAAAAAAGGCAGATTAATCTGACTTTTTGATTGATTAGTGGCAATGACCTATCTTTGAATCCTTTCATGTTGTGGATGGACACTATCCAGGGGCGCATTAGAGCTTGTTCCATGGAATTCACTTTTAACCATCATAGTGAGAGTCACTGACTTTTACATTTCTGTACTTTTGGCCTTGGGGATAATTGCCTTGGAGGTTGAGGAAAAGTGAGTGCACAGCCTCTCGTTTGGCGATGGGCAGGATGAAGAGTTCTGGGGTGTGGGTGGAGCAGCAGTCCTGGGCTTTTACCTCACTCCTCCTTGTCCTACTAGGACACACCTCTGTGTAAGTGTGTTTGCATGAGGGGAAACAGAGACATTACTTCATAATTACCAAATAAACCAACCAATGAGCAGAAGCCCACTGGTTCATAATACAGGCAATCAGCTCTGAATTTAGAAGGGTTTCCCCGGGCAATCTTCTTGGTTCCATCTTTCGTCCGCTCTAAAACCCTCACGAAAGCCTCGCTAAAGCTTAATTAGATCCAGACTGTTGGAGTACATATTTCACAATTAACACTGCCAATGGGCACCGTAACGCAAGCGTGAACTACTGTGGCTGCACCTGGATCTCAATATGCAACAGAGCATCACAAGTGCTGGCAAGGAATTATAAATTAAAAAGAAAGAAGGTCTGCCAAAGGAGGGCTAGTTTGATTTATCTTTTATTATTGTCCCAGTCTCCATTGTTTTCGTCACTTCTTCACTGAAACTGGAAATGTGCTGAAACTGGAAATGTTCTTTGCAGGAAAAAAACAGCCAGGCATGTGTGCGACGCAGGCCGTGACTTATCTGATCTATCCGGTTTCCCTTTAGAGAGGATGGGTGTGTATTTAAGTGTAAGCTATTGTTGCACAGGTGTTCCGGTGTGGGGGGCTTTTGTTATGAAGGGGGAGATGGAAGGAGAGGAAGTTCAGGTGGTCAACTGGGGGTGTTGTGAGAAAGATACAAATAAAGTTGCGGCCGGTTTGGCGCAGAACTGGAGCTCCGGGTTGTTCTTTTGTTGACACGAAGTTTAGACGCACTAGCACTCGGCTACATAAGCTAACCCCACACCAGACGAGACTTGCATGCTTTAAAAGCTCCATCTGAGGCTTACTTAGTGAGCACATGCTTTCTTCTCTTTTGTCCAGCTTTCTGTCAATATTTCATTGCTCTATACCTACCTCACCTTCCCCGTACACCTCACTCTTATTCTCTTCCGCTTACCACATTCCCTAAATTTCTCTTATTCCAAAATGTCTTACCTGCTCCTTTCAAACTATCTGTCTTTATTCTCCTGCCCGAAGAGCTCATGGAGACGAGAGAGATGAACATAGAATCAATAACAAGACAGCAGCAAAGATAAAAGGAACAAAGCTCATCCGCTATGCAGAGAGGACCAAAATAGCAACATCAACTTAACCCTGTGCTTCCCACTGACAACATGGAAAAAAAGGGAAATTCACACACCTTCATATTCATGTCAATCACAATGTATAGAGTTCATAACAAACACAGTAAAACTAAATGTAAAAAGAATCCATTGAAATAATTCCATCTCTGTAAGTCAGCTTCTTCTTTGAGTCGGAGTGTGTTGTGGAAAAGGCCCAATCAGGTAATCAGACAAAGCAACAGGGCGGTAAGCTGCAATTTCTCGCTCTCTACTTCAACCGAGAAGGTCCGCAGTCTGCGTTAATCCCACATTGTCGCATCAGAACACACACGTCTCATGTTCTTCTTCTCTCATGCAGTAAACAGAAGGCAGAACGCAAATTTATGTTGTTAAATTTAGCCCTTCCTTGCCAGCTAAATTTACCGCCTAATATGACAAAGTGCCTCCCTGCCAGCATTGACTAATAGTGATATTAGTGCATATGACTGTCAGGTAGACCATGCAAAGTTGTCTCTTGAGATTGGGAGCTGAAAGTAACAGGGGATCAACAGCAGGCACCGGGCTGAGCATTTCCCCCCCAGCATCTGACAGCAAGAGCAACACTGCTGGAGTCTGCACACATTTCTGCCTCTGCACTCTCCAGCCCACCATCCTTTTCTCCCTCTCAGTGTCCAAAATAGCTCGCTCTGCTTCATTTAAATGCTTCTCTGTCCCATGATGTGCACGGCTTGCACATGTCAATACGTTATGAGAAGCAAATCAGATGAGGAAAAATGAGATGGATGTACGAAAATAAAGTGAGGGAGAGATATTCTCACCAGAGCTGTAATGCAGGGAATCCTGAAAACACTTGCTTCATTCCACGGTGGCTGCTCATTAAATCCAAGATCCTCTGGGAGGGATTGAAGATTCCATGGAGATGCTGCCTCGAGAGGTGGAAACTAAGAATCTTTAACGTTAGGAGGATTTCAGAGTGTTGTGGTAAATATGCATGAGGAGAAGGATCTGATATCCGAGTCCAGAGCACTTCGTGGGTCCTTCCCGTAAGCTGCGAAGCCACACGTGAAGACACATGCGGTTCACACGGCGAGCCACGCACACGCGCACACACACAAGAAGCGAGGGTGTATCCTCTGCCACTCTCAGCAAGGATAAAAGATTGAGAGAGAACAACGTCGGGATGGAGACAGAGACACAGCGGAACGGAGGGAGGAGCCGCGGCGTGTGATGAGAGAGGGGAGGGCGGAGGCAGTCTCTCCATCCCTTCTTACTCCTCCCCCAACGGGACTGCAGTGTGAGACACAAAAAAAGACATGGGAGTTAGTGAAATTATTTTTACAATTCCTAAGCAGAGTGGGAAGCGATGTTTTATCTGAACACAGAGACAGAAGGTGGACGATGGATGAGAACGGGAGGAGATGCAGCACGGGGCTGAATGTCAAGATCCATAAAAATAGACTTAAACAGACTTAATATCAAAGTCTACGAAAGTCAAAGGCAACTATGTGAAGAAACTGGCAAAACCAGAAGGGTCAGCTCAGTTCAATCTCCTCGAGTGTCCCTAAAAAAAGAGCATTTCCTTCAGTGTTGTCTAACCAACCGTGCACATCGCAAAGTGTTTCCACCAACACACCCTTTGAACAGCACAGTCACAGTCTTTGAGAAAAGGAAGAGCCTTTTCCCCAAATTGACTGACAAGTGGGCTAGTGCATTCCTTGTTTGGGACAGGGCACAGAATATATATGTAACCGCCTAAAAGGTGCACATTAATGTCAGCACTTGATTATATAATTGTACACATCCACATGACAACAGTGTTGACGTTATTTAAGAATGTATGTGAATTATTAGCATAACTGTTTAGGATACAGCAGGTTCAATTAGACCTGACAGAACCCCCCAGCCAGTTGGTTTCTCCCAATTAGCCCAATTGACGGGAAGGCTGTATAAAAGCGAGGGGAAAGGGAAACGCCAGGAGAGTCTGGAGTGAAGTCACCTCCACAGAGGTTGTTGTTATTTGGTTCCTTTTGGCCAGTACAAGTGTTTGTTTTTTCTGTTTTGTTGGAGACCTATGAAAGGTAATAAAACAGAATAGTTAATCGCATCCCAGAGCGAGGCTTCTTTGTTGCCTGCACCTCATCCCAGTCCTTGACGCCACCAACCTGTGTAGGCGTTGGCCTCAAAGGCGCTATGTCACAGTCATCAAAGACATCCCTTGACTGACATGACTCGCTCTACATCATCCTACACCGATGATTCATGCGCCATAACAGCATACACTTCGAAGCGGGGGTTAGGAGTATGGGTGGCATAAGCGGTCAGGACACCCCACTCAGCTTACAGACAGGATTAAGAATCAGTGGTGCATGCATGGAAGGGTGGGGAGAATATCTCTTTCTGCAGTGGAAGCATGGTTGTCAGCGGATGCCCTTCAGTGGTTGAGGCTCTTGGTTGGCCCGAGAGGATAAGCATGACTGTCCTTTACACAGCTGGCATGAATGTTATCAATTCCCATGGGCAAGCGGACAGGAATTGATTACACGGCACACACAGATTTCTGTAGGATATTTTCATTTGTGACATGAGATGCAACGCTTTGAAATAGACTAGTGGGCTCTCATTGACGAATAAAGTCAGGCATTCAGTTGTAAACCAGGGCAGATTAAAATGTTGACATAGTAATAAAGTTAAAAGGATCACATTTTTAGAACTGGGCTCCTAATGGTGTGTTCCTTAACTTTAGAAAGGGGATACATAGGTTTTATCGATGAGACTGCCACTGAATGCATGTTTACCTGTAGGAGCCATATTGAGCTGTATCGTATGTTTCTTTCTTGTGAATAGTAGTGTGTGTGTGTGTGAGTGTGAGTGTGTGTGGCTTTAAAAGACAGGAAGACACAGCAGTGGCCTGAGAGGGAAACAGCCTTTTGACCGTGTGGTGGAGTGACGTGAGGGGCATGACGTGACCGGCCGTCTCCCACCATATAAGAGACTCCTTTTAGTTGTTATTTTTACCTCATGTTTTTGGTTTGTAAATTCTTTATATATTAAGAGCAATAAATGGTCATTGCACCGAACCGGATCAACTTCTACTCCTCATCTTTACAAACGGCACGCGTGAAGAGGTATCCAGCTCAGCCACCGGTAGTAGCTGACCAGGGAGTAAAGGGACGAAAGGAAAAGGCTTCTACATTACCTTTATAGACCGACTGAAGTTTTGCTTTGTTGCTTCGTATGATTATATTTTTATTGTATTTGTGGCCACCAAACAGCAGCAGGAACAACATGTGCTTCTCCAGAGTGAGAGAGGTGCTGTGCGCAGCTGGCAAAACGGCATAACTTCATTAATTATTCAATATCCCTGAGACACAGATGGGATCGGTCGCAATCTAACAACTTCTGTACTATTGCACATCTGTGGCATGTAAGCTTTTAATCAGATATTCCAAGTGTACAGGCTACAGTCAAATTATCTATAGCACCTATAGCATCTATCTGTATATCAAAACATCTGCAATCTGTAGCATATAAAGAAATAATTAGCATGTTGTTTGCATTCTGGGCCTAGCGCTAATTTAAAATTCAGATTTTACATTGGGAACAACGCAATGGCAGTTAAAAGGTTTACAACCAGTCATTTTCAGCTAATTTTATTATATCTGATCAGAAGAAGAAATCATTTAATGTGTATATATATGTATGTATATACATATATAGGGTTAGGGTACATATATATGTATATATATATCATTGGCTCCATTTCTCCTTTTGAATCCCTAACTCAATTTAAATACAGTTCTCAATGGATTTCCTGATAGAATGTGTCTTTTGAATAAATTATAGAGGTAAAAATCATGATGATATTTATAGATTTAGACATGTGCGAGTTAACAGTTTTGAAAACAATCCGTGTTCCAAACACCTGGCTTGGCTAAAACCTGTGCGTCCAACCCCTAGACTCCCTCTCATTACCTTGACCTTTACTCTGCAGTCTTAATAACCCACAATATAACTACCCCTAGTGACACATGCATATTTATGAAAGCCTTATTATGCCATCACTCAAAGTAATCATCATCCTGGGGCCCATTATAGCAGATTTTTGGCACGGTCCTCCTCCGGCCTGTTTTCCAATAGACAGCGCACAAACGAGTGTGCTTGGCCGACTTTCACACCTGGGGGTATTTCACAGATCACAGGTGCTATTGAAGAGTGACCCTGAAATCCACCACTACATAAACAAGCAATATGTTATGTTAAAATCATGAGGCCAAAAAGAGCACAGGGATGTGATCCCACGGAGGAATCGAATGACTGACGACAGCAAGGAGACACTTGGCTCTAAACCGCAGATGCCTTCAAGGACTCCGGGATATCCGGGAGGCTTCCACATACTTTCCAGCTCAATAAATACAAAAACAATCCTCTCTCCCAGTGCTGCTTTTACGTTAGTTTAATTTGCTTTTAGCTGTGTATTGATTGCTGCTGTTGTCAGTAAGTCAAAGATATGACGCGTTGTTGAAGAAGTAGAAGAAAGAAACCCAGGATAACTGAATAAGCACAGCTTGACTTAGTGTGATCTTAATCGGTTGCACGTTTGTCGAGTCGGGCTGAGAAGGGGGAGCTTAGTCAATCCAGGGCCCGGTTTTTCAAAAGGTTTAATAAAATTGATCCGGATTTAGTAATCCTTTTTTTTGCGATCCGTGATCACGTAATCCACCTTACTTTAGAGACAGTTTTTCAAAGCAACATCGGATTGGATCAATCTGATCCGGATAGGAACTTTTCAGGATCACCAAATCTGGATAACCAGTGCTCAAACAGGATAGGAAATCACAATGTAGAACTATAGATGTGTAAAGAGCAACAAGTAGAATAGCCAGTGTGGGCTCAATATAAGTTTATTTGAAATGAAAACAAACATTTAAAAAAAAAACTAAAAACAAGAAAAAACCCACTCCATCCTCTTCCAGCAGTCCGCTCATCTGAGACCTACAACACAAACACTGTACATTGAGGATATTTATAACAAGTTTCAAATATAGATGTATTGAAATAAAAAAAGGACTTAATGTCAAATACTCCACAATAATTTCAGACTCCTCGTCTGATGTGGAGAGACCAGCTTGTCTGAGCGTAGCCTTTAGAAGTTTGGCCTTGGTTTGCTGCAGTTTGGTGAGAGTCAGTTGTTCCTCTGCCAGAACGAGCAAACCGGACGTGCAACAAGGGACGCAATAGTTAGACACTATTTCTGATTTGGATTTGTTTTGGATTTCAAAAATCAGTGATTGCCATTCTTTGCATTTTTTTTGGTTATTCTGTAATCATTGCATGCATCACTAATAAATATTCTAAAAACAAAAATATTTGATTGTGATGAATATATATATCAATTAGTGACAATAAAATGTATTGTTTTTGGTCAATTTTGACAGCTGTTTGGGGGATTATTTTATGAGGCCAAACTCTTTCTACTTTGCTGTAGAACTGAAAGGCTGAATACGTTAAAGCCTACCTAATCACTGTAGCCTGACGGATGAACAAATAAAAATTAAAACCTTATGAATAAATACGATATCTTGTAAGATACTGCATGATCCAAATATAGTATTATTTGATACATTTTTTAAGTTTTCGTGAAATTTTGGGCATGAAATCCACGCTGAATCCACTCTTCTGATGGGATCAGTTTAATCCAGATTTTTTGGATCAAAGTGATCCAAATCCTACAAAAAAGTTCTGAAAAACCGAAACTAAAAGTTTGATCCGGATCAAAACCAAGATTGGATTACGTGATCTAATCAGATTATGTAATCCGTTTTTTCTTTTGAAAAATCGATTTTCAAGATTTGATCCAATCCCTTATCCAAAATCCGAGTGGATTACTTTTAAAAACCGGGCCCATGTGTACACAGCTGGGATCAGTGCACGTCCACGGCTTTCTTAAGTGGACCACGGTATGGTAAATGGTAAATGGCCTGTACTTGTATAGCGCTTTTCTAGTCTAGACCACTCAAAGCGCTTTAACACTACATGACATCATTCACCCATTCACACACTGATGACATCATTCACCCATTCACACCCATTCATACACTGATGACAGGAGAACCACACACAGTGACACCTGCCCATCAGTAACTAACATTCACACACACTGTAGT